TTGCATTCATTTCACATATACTTCAGGAGTGTCAATAATTTTGAGTAGAAATACTATGTTATTAAGAGATTGAGTTTTGTTTAAGAAAAACATACTTTCTTTGAGGTTGTAATGATAAAGTCTGTGTTAAGCCCCAGTGCTAAGTCTATGCCGAGTAAAACGAGGGGAAAAAACTAAAACGAAAAAGAAAAAAGACAATAACAACAATGACAAATGTAAGAGAGGGAAAAAACTAAAACTTCAAAGAAAAAGAACAACAATGACAACAAGTACAACAGAGGGGGATACTAAAACATAAAAGAAAAATACAATAACATCAATGACACCCACTACAACAAGGGGTAAAAAACTAAAAAATAATACATAGAAGAAAAAAGGCAATAACAACAATGACAACAACTACAACTACGAAAAAAAGAGAAATGAGATAGTAAAGGATAAAGTGACTCATTTTCTAATTGCTCAATTAGAAATTTTGCCTCACTGTGAGTAACTCTGCGAGTTTTTATTTTATACAATCAGTTTAGCCCATTCTATTGAAGGGTGCCAAAAATTCTGGAGTTTACTGTACCTATGAACAAAAGAGAAAGCACTTAAACAGCTTTTACCGAGTGCAAATGTTATCTGCAAGTGAACTCTGTGTGCTCTCTGCCACTCCCTCTCTCTTATGTGGGACCAGCTGGCATGTTAAACATACCTAAAGTGTTATTTAAAAGGCACAAAACACAGAACCTGTGATCTCTCCGCAGCTCACGAGTGCAAATGGCCTTTTAAAAACACATGACTGTCAGTTACACAGGGGGACAAAGTGAGCCGAGACAGGCCATCATCACAGCAAAAGCCATCACCATATTCCCATAGATATGATATGCACAATTCACATGCATAAATTGAATTTAAATTGAACTTAGTACATGAATGTGTGTGAAAGTGAGACCCAGACAGTGAAAGAGAGAGATAGATTACATATCTGCGTGTATGTGTATGTGTGTGTGCGTGTGTGTGTGTATGTATATGTGTGTGTGTGTGCCCTGTCTGATGCCCGAGGTGCTATTGCACAGATGAAAGGCTTCTGATGAGGTGTGGATCCTTGGGCCCGTGACAGCTGTATATTAATCTACAGAACTTCAGACAAATCAAACAGATTCTCTTTCTCTCGTGTGAAAAAAAAAAGCACCATAAACCCCAGAGCCCGGTTCATAAGCCTGGGCTACGGCACATGAAACGAAACACAGATCATCTTTAAGGGCCTGAGTGCCTTTGAAACACCACCAGCTGCCTCTGCCTCTCTTTTCAGACTTTTTTCTCACTTCATCAAACTCGAGCCATATTGTGACAGATGAAGGCAGAACATCCACAAACTAATTTAGTAATTGAGAGATGAAACGGACGAGGTCCGGACTCTGGGAGCTTTCATTGGACTCGGAACATCAAACGAGCTACACTATGGCACAGATCACTCCCAATGAGAACTTTAGAGACTGCTAAAAGGCCTCAATTTTTTTGATAATTGCCAATTGGACTGCATTATTAATAAGAACAATCAATAATTACAAATGTGGATTTTTTGTGATGCTGGGTATGAATGAATGAAAATGTCACAGCAGTCAAAAGATACAGAACCACTGGTCCAATTTTCTAAAGGCCATCAAATTATACACATTATAGCAATTATCTCATGATGCACTTTCAATAAACTAATTTTCTTATAATATGTCAAGAAACATATGATTTGATATCCTTCCATTTAAAGCCATTTAAATATTTTGCTGGCATTAGGAGATATGAAATAAGGACTAATAATAATAATCATAATGTTAAGTAATTTACAGACACATTCAGGAATGAACCTCCTGAGGTGTTGCATCATGATGAACAGTAATTTAAAAATGAATTTCATTGTAGGATTACCTCATTTTTTTATCATTCATGATACATAGTTGCTTCTCAAAGTGCAAGCTGCTGAAATATTTTTATAGTCACTTAACAGTCAGTTCAGGTGTGATATAATAGGGTGTGGTATCATATAACAATTTAATAGGGTGTGGTGTCATATAACAATACTTGACAATACACAATATCACAATATTTAGTTTTACTATTTAATTTCCAGCAAAAGGAAATAGAAAGAAAAGAGATATTAAATCTATAGTTTGGTAATTTTTATATTCATCCCCATTAAGTTCTAATTTATTATTTAGTAGTTACTATGTGTTGTGTCAGAAATTTCTAATGTTTTATTTACATGATGTAACTACAATTTGCTAATGAGTATCTCTGAAAAGAAAAGAATATGTACATATATTGCAGTAAGGTAGTGTAAAAATAGAAACCCCACCATGTTTAGCAGAACCATCCAACTAGTCTTTTTCCATTCTGGGAAAATCCACCAAAAAACATAAACCTAAATATAACAAAATGACAAAATGTTTTAGGCTACTTTATTATGTTGCCTTGGCTTTCTGCCTATGTGTGCCTTTGTTTCTGTTTTAAATACGTCTCTTCCCCGTCTTGTCTTTTGTTTGTTACCTGATTGTGTTCACCTGTTCTGTGTTCTTGATTAGTTTGTGTATCTACACTTTGCTGTTTCTTTGTAGCATTGTGAAGCCTTATTGTGCACTTGTACAGTACTTCCTGGTTTTGAGCTACACCTGTTGCAACTTTGAATATAGATTATCTTTGTATGATGTTGCCTGCATGTATTTTGACTCCATGACTTGCATCTTATGTCTTACTGCCTGTTACAGTTATAACTTCACTTTAATTGCAGTTCAGGATAGCTTGTAGCTTTCAGTACTGTATATGGTAGAAAATATCAAAAGTTGACCATATGGAAGTTTTCCCAGATCACTACAAAAATGTATTTTTTTCTTTAAGATGGTACTAGATTTGATACTGAGAGTCTAAAATGTAATGTTGTAGAATAAGAAAAAATATGCTCCTCCAAACTTTCTGCTCTCACAGTCTCATTAACAGACCAGCTTTCAGTTAGCCTTGATAGCAGTGCATTGTTTGCCATGTTAAAAGACAGCTTAGTTCCAAGTATAAACCTTATACACAAGGGGAGTGCATGTGCCAGACTCATCTGTACACGTTCACCTGAGAGCACACAGATGGCATGGAGGACGACAAAGCAATGCTGGCATGAACGCAGCCTGGCACAGGTCTGTCCAGCCTGGTGAGGGAGGATGGAGTAACAACAGCCAAATCTAAACGCTGACACATAAAATGCTCAACTAGCTGCAGGACTTTTTTGTTGTTGTTGCTGATATTGAGAGTTGAGAGTACAATGTGATGGTAGTGTGAGAAAAAGGATAAGGATATCTACTGTTATTTTATTCATGCATAATGGATTTGACTTAGGGCTGGGCCATCTGTTGATATGACATCCATATTGTGATTAATTAACATCATGATACACTTTTCTAAGTATCAGGGTATCATGGGTATTGATAGGTGTCAATGCTTTATCTCACTGTAACAAATAACTGAGTGGACATTAAATTCGAAGTGTTTCACGTTCCCTCATTTTCTTCATTAAATATTTATTTGTAGATTTGTAAATTTATTAATTTTTAACACTGTTGTCCTAGCTGTATTTCTCTTGCATGTGTGCGCTCCTTCAAGAAAATACTGCCTGGTTCGAATGTAATAACTTTTTCCCTTACAATGAGACTTATCTGACCAACTTAAGGCACAGATCACCAAGGGGGCCAAGAGATATACTGTTCGATCATTTAGGAGTCATTTCCTCCCCTAAATGACTACAAAACACAATTAGTTGTGTTGTTTACATTTTGTGAGTGCATATGAGTTTGTATATACTTTTTGGAAGACAGTGAAGACACAATTATTGACAGACAGTAATCTGATGCAAAACTTTATTGGCAAGTAATTCTCTCAACCCTATAGATCATCACATCTCCATTGAACCATGAGTCAAACAGTAAAGTGTGGACCACTCTCACCCTCGGCAGAATGTCTGTAGCAGTGTATATGTGTGTATTTGTGTGTGTGTGTGAAGCAATGAGAACAAATGTGGCCAGCACTGAGCAAAACCAGCCTACACACTAATTCATTTATAGCTGACCCCATCACCAGGCCTACTGGGAATCCTCTCGCTTCTCCTGACTTCACACTCCACCACTGACCAGAGCTCGGTTTTCTGAAAGCAGTGTAAAGTTAGAATTTTCTTCACTGGTAGAGATTTTGTGATGTTGTGATGCTTGCTCTACCATTTAGTAATCAGCCTAGGTTAATCATTTTGTATTTAACTATAGGTTCAGTTACATAAAAAAATACTTGCTTACAAAATAGCATGACTGAATCCCAACAACAGCTACCTATTACTGTTTAACCATTAGTGATCACTTAATAGCTATAGATAAGACACATCAGTTTGAAATGATTATGTGTTTTTGCAGTGGCACTTCACCTACCTATCATATGACAGCTACCAACCAGGAAGGGTGAAGGCTAACATGTGCTTCCTCTGAGACACATGAAGCCAGTCAGTTGCATCTTTTCAAACTGCTGCTCATACTGCATCACAGGGCAGCGTAACATGCTCGGAAAAAGGCGATCTCCATCCCATTGCACATACATGAGCTCACAGACAAACACGATTGGCTATTATCACTGTGATTGACAGGGGAGAGAGAGAATGTCACCCCTCCCACCAAGACAACACAGCCAATTTTGCTCTCTTGGACTTCCTGACATGAATGAATGGAGCATCAATACATTCATTGCTTCTGCTACGATCGATTAGGTCCACGGAAATACTTTGCTGGGTCCACATCCAGTCTGCATCCCACCACGTGATGACCCTTGCTTTAAGCCATTAAAGTCCCAAGACCTGTTGTTTGGTCCGGACTTATACGAGTGATTCCTCACTCTTATAACTACACATCATTTTCTATTAGTTTCATTATAATCATAGCAGTTAGCAGTTATAATCATAGCATGGTCTTGTGCAACCCCAGTGGCTGGGGTCGGTTCACTGGCCGGGATTTGAACCTGGGCTGCTGTGACGAGAGCGCCAAGGCCTAACCACTAGTCCTTCCAGACCCAGATGGTAGTTACTGAATAATATGCATTAAATTGAATAACTGAATAATAAGCCATGACTTTATAGTTTGTATAGTTCAATATATCAAGTTAATATGTGACTTGCATTAGAGGCCTCACAAGTGAAATATGATGTGGTCTTATCTGAAAAAGTGTGTCACTCTGTTACTAAATCACACATCCTCTCTTTCTCTCTCTCTCTCTCTCTCATTAACTTTCACATCTCAAACTTAGACAGACGGTCAACAGCTGGCTAAACACAAAAGCTTCTCCTCCCTGTGTGTGTGTTTTGAGAGAGAGATAGAGAGAGAGAGAGATGGAGCAAGGGCGAGAAAGAGGCCTGTTCATACCATGGTGCACTCTCTGCTCCATCCTGGCGTGTGCCAACAAAAACACACTAATCAGTGGCTTCCTTCTCATTAAAAGTTAATTAGTTTGACACGAGTTTCCTGTACAAGAAAGTATTGGCCACTTACAGCTCATTAGGGCTAAATCAAAATATCACACCAAGCAAAATGTGGTAATGGATGGAAAAGAAAACACTGACACACACACACACGCACACACACTGACAAATACACACGCATAGACACTGTTTGCTTTGCACATACCAATACAGAATTATCCCTATTGTGTAGGGATTTAAGAATATATACGATTCACTTATATTTTATTTTTCATTGTATTTAAAATGAACACACATACACACACTGGTGGGGATTTACAGATTAAGGTTAATTAGTTCAGAATGTAAGAATGTAATTTTTTAAAGGTATATCATGAGTAAAAAAACCAATAAAATCAGCGTGAGGATAAAAGAATTAAATGGCTAAATTATAGTTATATAAATATAAATTGTGAAGTGAAAGTTAATTTATATCTTAAGTTGCTTCCAATTAGCATTAATCTAGTGCACTGATCTCACCAGGAGAGGAAGATAATTGTGCTTCATTACTACACATTATTTTAGTGTATTATACTTTATTTGAGTGTTATTAAAATTGAATACTTGTACTCTTACTTTAAAGTCTTTGAAGCACTCATTAAAAATCTCGAAGGTCTCTTCTTCTCTAATCTAGCCCCTGAGATGCAATGTACGCTGTACTTCAATCGGAAGGGCTCCCACATATTTTAGCATCCAATCAAGTTCATCAACGTCGAAAAAACTATCACAAAATTTGTCATCTGCTGTTCTCATGCCACACAATATAGTTAACTCTATAGCTATCCGCTATAGCTATATTGCTTAGCCACTGAACTGCAGTGTAGATATTGAGGACGAGCATCGCTGGCTTAACCTCAGTAAAATGTTTCAATATGCCGCGGTAAGCAAAGTCTCATACTCAAAGACAAATGAGGTGTCTCCTTTCCTGGAAGGCATGAACACCATCTAATTTGAAGTAATTATGCTAACATCAACTGGCTATATTATTGTAGGCTGTTTTCTTTCCTAACGCAGGGTTAGACTAACACCAGTTCCAGTAGCTAATATAATTGTCTAGGCAGCAAGCAAAATTCTAGCTAATGGTAAATATTGGTTATTAACATGATATTTTACTTCTGATTAATTCATTAATATTTTCACTTAAGCATTAAGGTCAAGTTACAAGGACAAGGTGAGCTTAAGTTTCACTTAAGTATAATTTCTCAGTACTTTTTCCATCCCTGGATCTCACATACAGCACAGTATGTATACTGAAAATAAACTCACATATACAGAAGACCGAATTTATCATTGTTGAACTCTAGTGAAGCTAAGTTTGTTTCTTTTCTTAACTCTCTCTCTGTATCTTTCCTCTTCCATCCCTTCATTCTGCCATCACTCTGTCTAATCTGTCAGTTCTCCCACATCTGTTCAGGCAGATCAGACTTCCTGCTCCTAATGAATCTTGTAGCCGGCTTTTTATCCTAATAGTGCTGTTTTCAAGAGAGGAGGATGTTGTTTATTTTGCTTTCATTAAACCTTGGTTCTAAAGGCAAGCAGGTGGAGAGCGGAGATGAAATAAGTGTAGAACAGAGGAGGACTTAGGGTGGTGAAATACAATGAGAGGAAATGGCCTAGCTACAGGAGGAGAAATAAGGAGAGTGAGACAGGCAGAGAAGTGAAATGGTTATAACTCTTTTCCTAAATGGAGAGCAGAGCTGAAGGGAAACAATAAGTCTAACAGGCTAATACAGTACACCATGAGGCTAGACTGTACATTAATAGTCTCGTCAGACAATGTCTTTCGCAGTCTATATTAAAGTTGAATGTGAAGGCTTCAGCGTTTGATCTTCTTCCAAAAGCTCAGCCATACATGGCTGATTAATCTGAGCTTTAATCTGATCATTACATTGATAGCACATGCAGTTAACCCAAATAATCAGGAGACTCTGATTGTGTCTGAGAGCATCAGAAAAAACCAACCACAACACCCCAACTTCAAACTCTGACTTTTTATTCCAAAGTCTCACTCTGAAATCTTCACTGATCCCAAATCTGTAGAACTTTTTGGGACTGGGGATTGGATGCATTGGGGCTGTGTAAGCATCCGACACAACTATCACTGATAGCCTGCATGAATCTACAGTCTGGGCTAGAAAGAAATCAGCCCCAGCCCAGCTTCTTCATACCATTATGTTGATTTTTCTTACAACCGTTGGTGGTGCTGTTGCACTTGGTTCCACAAAAGTCCAAAATAATCCACGTTACGATGGCTATTAACAGCAAATAAGCTGATGTGGATGCCAAAAATGTAACTGTATATTGATGAGTTTTTAAATTTGAAAGACCACGGGGCTGCTAGCCCATTTATACCAGCCACACTGCCTGTATGTATTCACCTGTGAAGGCATGAATGGCATGGAACGGCATCGTAACTGCATATCTTTCATATCAGTTTTACTGTAGGTCCTGTTTATGATATTCTGTGTTAGATATGGTGAGTTGCAGCCAAGGTAAAAATGGACAAGGTGAGCTTTGAGCTTTAAGTTGATGGACTGTACTTTAATAACCATCTTAAAATAAAGACAGGTGAAAAATTAAAGGGAAAAATGGTGTTATAATATGGGAGACATTTTGCTAGCAAGGTTTGAGTCCACTTGTCCCCTTAGAGGGAAGCGTCACTGCAAATCAAAACTGCAGATCCGTTGACTGATCAGCTGTATCCTATAATGAAACATTTCTCTCCTGATGGGCGTGGTCTCTTCCAGGATAAATGCACCCCCATCCACAGCACACAAGGCCGCACTAAATGGTTTGATGAGGATGAAAATGGTGTAAATCATATGCCATGACCTTCACAGTCACCAGATCTCAACCCAGTTGAACACCTATGGGAGATTTTGGAGTGATGTGTTAGACAGCACTCTCCATCACCATCACCACCATCATCATCGTCATCATCAAAACACCAATTGAGAGAATATCTTTAAAAGAATGGCGTTCAGTACAGTTCCAGACACTTTGTGCACATTGAAGCTGTTTTGTCAGCTTGTCATGCTCCAACACCTTACTATGACACTTTATGTTGTTCTTCCTTTAATTTGTCACCCATGTGTAGGTTGATATTGCAATTCATTTCAGTCCACCTGAATTACCACAATGACACAGTGATACAACTAAAATGATGGTGAAATATGCTGAATTTGTGTCTGACGACCCATCAATGGATCGCATATGTATCAGCATCCTGATGGAACTGTTTATTTTTCCTAATAGAGTCATTTATATTTGGAGTTTTTTTCTGACATGAATGCATGTATTTCCACTGAGCTAATACGGGCTAATGAGCCAGGCGCTCATGTAAACACACAAACCAGTCAGATTCTGTTAGAAAGTGTATGAATTATGGAAACACACAACAGTGAAAGAGATGATGTGAAGGTAGCAAATGGAAATTGGTGTCTATCAGTCGTACAAGCACTGCTGGTTTATTTATTTTGAGTAAGGCTTTGAAATAAGTTGGATTACCAGCAAAAGAAAAAAAAAAAAAAGTGGGTTATTATGGGATACTAGGAGATTCAAGGATTCTGTTGGAAGCACAATGTTAATGAGCATTTTACACTTAAACCCATACGTGTAAAAAAAAAAAATCCAGAAAAGAATAAAAAAAATGCATCAGGTATAATTCATTTTATGAGAATCATAAGAGGAGCAGGAGGAGGAAAGCTTTGATTGTCCCACCTTCTCCCTTCACTCTTTTTCAGACAGCCTCACAGGTATCTAATGCAAGGCTGAGGAAATTCAATTAAATACAGCTATTGAAGGAATAGCCTGGTTACATTCTATTGTATTAGATCAGAAGTGCGACCAGTACAAAGCTAATGGAGCAGTAATTGTTTTAGCTCGTCCTTCATATCCTTTCCAATAAGTCTATAGAGACAATAAGTAAAGAATAAAACATGATGGGGTGTCTTGTCATAGGGAAATAATGAACAGGAAGGTGTGTTATTCCTCTTATACCACAGCAATTTGCCAACAATTACATTTTTTTTATTAATTAAAGAATTATGTGTCATACTTCTTATGTTGTATTTGATAATGTGTAAATGTAAAGTCTGCAAAACCAATTAGTTCCTACTTATGATAAATCAGCTATAAACAGTTGTTCTCTCACATTATCTTGAGGTTTTATTAGACAGAAAAAAAATTCAGCTCTGTCCTGAAGATTTTCCTATGTTGGAAAACTTACTGACTGTTACAAAGCACTGACACTGGAGACTCCTTCCATTAATGTTAAATGAACATTTCCTCACAGGGTCTCCTTTTTTTTTAATACATTCATTATTAGGTTTAGATTATGTGGAGCATCCCTATGAATGAGTGTTGACACCAATAATAATGTTGGTTGAACATTTTTTAGTTAAATTCTAGGACTGTAAACCATTAAGCAACTTGTTCATTGAACCTTAAAGGATTGACAGTGTTATTTGTATTATATGTGAACTACAAGCTGTACTGGAACCAACTAAAATATTGCTCTTGGCCTGCTAGTGCTTCTCTGCTCTTTGTGGTGCT